GGCTCATGATTTACCATACAAGTCATTGGGCTGGGCAGAATCAACAACAGAATCAACATCATTTCATGCCACGGTGACCCCCGCATAGCTCAGCACTGCTCAGTATGTGGGTGTACTCCAAATACCCCTCACAAAAGATCCAAGTGCTCTCATGACTGGAACCATGTGTTCTTGTCACAAGTTCTGGGATCCTCCAAAAATGTATATGTAGATGAGGTGCAGAGCAACCTGTTCTCACTCCATCTCATGGAGAGTGGGGCCACACTAATCATATGCGACAGGCTGAGAGGGAGTCTAGGTAAACTGCTTGGGGCCCTGTTTGGTGATGTTTGCCAGACATTTAAGGTTGGTGAAGACACAGGAATCAATAGAAATAGGAGAGAAAGGCTCAGCTGAGCTCAGCTGTAGGAGTGAGGTGGAAGTTGAAAGATATTGGGTGGAGTGGCTCACTATGACATGAAAGAGTTGGCATTGAGTGCTACGGGCACTAGCATATATCTTATGCATAAGGGCTGGCCTAGCCTATCCTTATGGTAGATTCCCATCAGCATCCCAGCATTTTTGGCTAAGGTCACATGTAGCACTACTACACCTAAAGGATTCCAAGGTCTTTCTAAATCTTGGACTCTTCCCTTCTCCGGCAACCATATCCTGCGTCTCTCTTGTAACTGTGTGCCTCCAAACTACCTCCTTACTTGAATACAGTATTGTTGTGTGGGGTCTCTTGTATACTATTTGCTATGAAAGCGTAATGCCCCCTCATCCCTGGGCTTAGTTGGCTGCATGTTTCTTATGTAACTTAATTGTGTTCACACCCCTAAACCACACCCTCTATCATGTAACCCCTCACTCAGGTCCTCTGTATTTCCTTATGCCTCAACATTTTATCATTTTTGGCACCACAGGAGAGAGTCAGAGCTTGCTCTAGCCCTCTTGGTGCTGGCCTGGTATTGCAACACATCCAACCCTAGTGTCAGTTCCCTGTGAGGGGAACACCTGCCTTTTTTTTTTTTTAAGGCCACCTAAAAAGAAAAAAGGTTCTCATCAGCATGTTTGCCCAATATGGGCCATGCGTTTTATAGCCATGCTCAGTGTTTTCTGTGTTTAATCAGCTTCATAAGCTGGTTTCCATTACTGAGCACATGTTGCTTTTGACAGCTGTTTAATGACAGACAACGTATTTAATGAAGTTTACTTGTATGTGAATGTAAGACGAGGAGCTTCCCGCCTCCATTGCTATTTAGGGAAAAAACTGTCTTATATTTAAGAAACTTTCGAATCAAGGGCAATCTCTTCGCTGGGCTCAAAACTGCCAGAAGTCTACAATATGCAAAGAGTCGCCTATGTTAATTAAGGTGCTTGATACCTAGCACAACTGTCCCTTTAGTTTGTAAGGTCCTTGGGGTAAGGAGTCTGGGTGAAATCTGGAATTGACTGAAGTCAATGAGAGTTTTGTTACTGACTAGAAAGGTGCCAGGTTTTCTTGTGGTCTCTCTTTTGGGTTCTGGAAAGAACCATGTAGATAATATTACTAGATGATCTTCCTTCTTCCAGATCTCCAGTTTTGACTCCAAAGTAAAAGAGGTTATGGCCAGCACAGTTTGAAAGTCTGCAGTTTCCTGCATAGTAACTTGCTAAATGCATGAACATGTTTCTTGCTAATGGACCCTCCTGCAGTAATCACTGTGGTAATCTATTATTATTGTTATTAAATTATTAAGCATTTTTAACATTTTTAACATTTTAAGCATATAACATTTTAAGCATATTTAACATTTTGCATGTTCCCCATTCTGCTTACTGCATAATTAGCCTCTATTATGATAAGCCCCACACCCCAATATTTATACCCTGATCCCTATTACAAAAGTGCTGGAATAGGCAATAGCATAACTATAAGTTGGAGATGGGCGGCACAAGGCCCAGTGCTGATTATGATGGGTGCTGAAACAGCTTGGGGTAGGGGTGTGTGGAATTGAAGAGTCTATGCTGTTTGTCTAGCAGCTGCGGGCTGTGGGTTCAAGTTGTGTAGAGACGGACCTGGGAGCCACGCAATCACATCAGGGAAGCTCTCAGGTCCTGCAGGTAAGTGATGTGGCAGAAAGAAGCTCCCCCCACATCTGGGAGTTTTTCTTCATTTAGTATGGCATTCAATGGCACATTCTGGGGGTGTGAGTAGGCAAGCAGGTTAACTCCTTAGCTGGGAGACACCTTTCCCCATAGCTGCCAGGACTCTAGAGCTTCCCTGGCTTCACTCTGGTTTCCTTCCTTTCTCTGTGGAGCTGCAGCCCTGCAGCTGTCAGGACCTTAGAGACACCTGGCCTTCACCCTGGCATCCTGGACACAAATATGCTCCTGGGTGACCCCATTCCAAATTTTTCCAGAGTGAAAAAAGAGCCCAATGCACTTCTGGGAATAGGCAATAAGCTCTACACAACAATGCAAATTACTACTGGAAACTGAAGTTGGTACAAAATACAAAATACAGTGGCCCTGCTTAGTCAGCTGAGCCTTTTGCCAAAAGTATATCCAATGTACAGAAAAAGTGTTCTATCAGTTAGAACACTTGACCAGAAAGATGGAGACCTGGGCTGTAGACCCCCTCAGCTGGTCATGATGCCCACTTCGTAACAAAGAGAACTGGGTTCCAGTTCCTTGCTGCTAGGTTTATTTATGGTTTTTAGGGCAGTAACTATACTATGTTACATATATACACTGTTGTATGACAAGACTGGAATCCTCTCTCTCTTTCTGGCATCATGGATCTTCCATTCTTGGGTGCCCAATGGCCAGTTTCAGTTGAAGGAGGTGGGTGTAGAGTGCCCATACTGGCCGCGACCACGTGAGAGTGGACATTTGGTTCCCGGAGGTCAACTAATAGCAGAACACCTTATGCTACTGCTAGATGTCTCTGGGAAATGCCTGTGCCACGTGACTTCTGGCACGTAGCAGGTTACCCTGGGTGGGGTAGGGAAGCCTGGGGCCAGCACTGGACTGGCCCCAGCAGCCTTACCTGGGGTTTTGGGGGCCTCCTGGGGCTGCAGCAGTGGTAATCCTACCACTCAGAGTCTGGCTGACAGCTGAAGTGGGGCTCTGGCCAGCCAGGCTCATTTTGAGCAGTGTGTGCTCTGCCATGTGCGCTACTAGGCTTTTTATTTGTGCTGTTTCTTTCCCCCCCAGGATATTCAGGGGGTCAGAGAAACCCCCCACGCTGCTCCCTTGCAGCGCAGAAAACAGCTGAATGTGTGGCATGTGGCACCACAAACATGTCTGAGGCACCACATACCACACAGTCGCACTCATCTCGATACAGCTACTTAGTCTATTGTACAGCTTGCTGGTTTGGGGACTCTTCTGTCAGTCTGAGTTAGGCATAGGCTTTGAGCTCCTAATGGGAGGCCCTTCTGGGTACCTAAGGTAAGCTGAGGTACAAGAATATGAATTGAAATGGAGCTTAGGAGTTAGGTCTACTACCTGAATTTGCTTCAGAACAGGCTTAGAAGCTTTAGTATGGCTTTCTAGGTTTTTTTTAACATCCGTAACTAAGGTGCCTAATGTGTTTTATAGATATTGGAGCACAGCCTATATGAATCACTCCTTGAAACCTGAGTATTCACACTCTACTGAAGTCTCATTTAGGCATCTAAGGAACCAAACTGAACGCTGACTGTGGAGATTAGCATTATGTAAACTATTTGAAAAACACATTTTAAAAAAGGGGGAAAGCAACAGAAAAGGCTAGCATTGAGGCTAACTTAATATCTTTTATGGAAACCTTCAGTAAGAAAATGAAGGTTTTTCAGGTGTTCAAGTCTCTCTCAAAATCCACTTCTTTCAACTGTTTCTTACTAATTTCTCCTTGTGTACTCCTCCATAGTTTCTACTTAATACACCCAGACATACTTGATTCATTTGCAATATTATTCAAACTAGTTGAATATTTGTCTTTCCTCTCTTCCACCTATTACCCATCATTGGAGACCCATGTTTACCCTTAAAGTATAGTCTTTGAAGGCACAAAATACTGTAGATATCCAAATCCAAGTTGACTTTGAATTTAAGATAACCCTCCATAATTAGATTCTATGCAAGGAAAATTATATATTGGATTGTCTTAAATTCATCCCAACGAAGTAGGAGTGGGGAGGAGGGAGGGATCAGATCCCCACCCCTGCCTGTCCCCCCACTGCCTGCATCTGGTTCTTCCTCCCCTGCCACTTGCCCCGCACACCTTGTCTCCCCCAGTGCCTGTGCCTGCCCCATTGTAGCTGTGATAGTCCAGTAAATATGCAAGTCAAGGATTTTTGTGGTATCCAACTATATATGGTCCAATGGAATATATTACCCACAAATATTCTTGCCACTCACAAATACCAGTAAAAACATGTTTGGTACTACATGAAACATAATGGGAAAGTCTGAGCATTCTAAGAAGGATGCCTCAATTTCACTTTGTTTTTCTTTTTCAGTTCTTTACAGGATTTTATCGTAATTAAGACACATACACACATGTGCACATACACACAGACATCCCTCTACGGAGAGGTGAAATCAGACCTATACTAGAAAAAAAAATATGCGTCTTATAGCAACAGACAACAATGTTGTAGAGTAAGCCATTAGTGCTAAGACAACCCTACCATCTTTTTTACACACACCCCTACTATTTTTCATGAGATAACGGTAAAAAGACATTCTGTCCACATCAATGCTTTCCACTACGTGTTCACTTGCAGCACTGGTGATAGTTGGAGTAACATGGACATATCAATCCCAGTGCATACAAGGCCTGAATCAGCAAAACAGCAACAGGAAGCAACTCTGAGTCACTAATGTGTTGGTAGGCACGTTCATTTTTCACAAGCCAAAACTGACAATCCTGTTCCTTGGAAATGTGTAATGCACACATCAAATGATTTTGCTTTCCCTTTAAGATCATACTATATGGACCTACAGTTTTCTGTAGAATATGATGTTTAGATTTGCTACTAAAAACTCACCTGTTCTGATTGCTAAAAGTTGCCTGATCTATAGGCAAGATGCTGTCTGGCCATGGTGCAGTCTGATTTGGAGGGGCTGGCTGTTGGCTATATTGAGGTCCCCCTATATTCATCTCCAATTCAGAGGGCCCTAAGCAAGGAAAAACAATCAGAAAACATTTATGACAGTGGAAGGTCACCACTATGCTGTTACTTCTTGCTTTGAAATACAAGTGACCAAACATTCAACATGTTCATCTGTAAAGGGCATTTTGACTTGTATAAAGCACCTTTGTTCTTATTTTATTATCATGCCGATTTAGACTTTTATTTAATTTCATGTCGGACAATGTTACGTTTCAAAGCATCAAGAAATTACTAGCCAATAGATCTCCTACTTTGTAAAATGTTTGTGATATCTAAGGCACTTCGCAAACTGAGCTACATCAAATTGTCATAAGAAATGCAAAAGTGAACAAGGTCTAAATACACTGGATAGTCATAAAAAGTACCCTAAGCATCCAATATATAAGCTATATTCAAATGCACTTACTTTGGCACTGACCTAGTACAAAATAAGTGCTTAAAATCTCTCTTTTCTTTTAGGACCTTATTTCTTATGAAACTAGAAACTACAGAGCAGCTGGAGAAAATCAAAACCTGGCCACGTGGTTAACATTAAAAATGAACAGTTCACCTATGTTGTGCCCTTGCTGGATGGATTTTTTTCATTGGGAAGCATCTAACTTGCAGAACACAATTTTAATCAAGTTTCTAACTAATGCTAGCTGTCACCTTCTACTTCATGATCTACAACCCAGTAAATTGAAATGACAACTACAGTAGGGCTTACCCATATTCATGACCTGAGATTGTAGCATCTGTCTTGGGGCAGGTTGGCTGCTGGGTCTCAGAGGAATGCTGGCTGTTGGGTTACGTATCATGCCTCCTTGGATTGGCCTATTCATGGCACTGGTTGTAGCAGCACAAGTTACCCTTACAGCAGAACCTGGGGCTCCCCACTCTCCAGATGTCATGGCAGGCCGAGGGGTATTACCACCAATCATTCCTGTACAAAAGCCAAACAAAGTGAGACACAGATACGTGTCTTGAAAACAACTCCAGCTATTCCCATTGGTTGATAACCTTAATATTCAAAAATAAAAAACACAGGAGTTTGTTGAGTTACTTGGAGCTAGCTATATCACAACTGATTGTCCAGATGTGCAACTCTACAGACTCATGCATTACGCTGTTCAGCCAGGGTAAGCATTAAAGAATTTACATGAAGGTGACCCTTTTATCATTTCTGAAAGCTGTTAAGAGCAAATGTTCCCATATGTACTCCGCAACAGGTGCTGAGGGTGTGTGGATAATTCTGACTTCCTTCCTCAGGAAATGAATCACGTTTGCTGGTATACATGTCAACGCTTTACTTTCCAAGTGCCGGGTAAGAATATGAAGATTTGAGCAACAATAGGTTATTCAGATACATGGTATAAAATATAAAGATGTAAACATTAATTCACATTTAACACACACCTTTAAATAAGCCTTGTCATTCACAGTCATTAGCCCCCCTAACTACAAGATTTACTCAGACAAGCTTAAATTAATAAAAGGTAAAGGGGAATTACTCAGAGGAACTTTCCGATTCTTGTAGAAGCTTATTACGGTTATACTAGGGGAAGTCCTCCTACATCTACTGTAAACAACTGATAAAATTTATTTACACTTGGAATTTATAAGCTTATGGTATAGTACTAGTACGGTACTTAAAATAATACTTGAATAATACAGCACCGAAACACTTTTCAATTTTGTGTAAGTATAGGAACATAAGGACGATTTGTTCAGATTCACTAATTTGATACTGTAACATCAGTTTGCAACACTAATTTTAGGGGATGCTAAAAAATAATTACTCAAACACAACTGTGCAATAAGAAATACTTAGGGAAAAATCTTTTTTTTCTAACTCCTGTAGGCAACCAGTTTTCAACCTGAAATGCAAAATTTGCTTCAATATGCCCTGTTTTCTTTTTACTCTAACTATTCTGTCAGCTACAAGGTATCACAAACTAAGGTAAATGGCAGGGGTACATATATAATGCACAATATTGAGGTAAGCAGTTCCCCTGAGAGCTTATAAAACAACCTCTATACCGCTCTAAAAGCAGCATATACTTTAACTGGTGGCTCAGTAATACAATACCCATTTTCTGATACTGATGCAAAATAAACACGTAATTGACAGTTGGCATTTTACAAGGTTTACAGCATCTCACTATTCAAAATTCACATTGCAATTTCATACCTTTACATTCTAAAATATGAAGTAACTGACAAACAATTACGATAAAATACTTCACACAAACATTTCTGATAATTCTTTGTATATTCTTTGGTATCTTTGTAAGTTTTAAATGTAACAAAGAAATCAGTTATTATAGTCATAGCTCATTATTGTCATGGCACAATCAACAGACAAATTTAAAACAGGTAAATTCCTTTCAAATTTCCAGTGCTTCAAACAAGACTGTGTTACAGACATCAGAAATTAAAATCCACAAACCCCAGATTTTTTTTTTTTTTTTTTACTTAAAGTGAATTTTAATATTCAAGAAAGAAGACTGACTGACAACATTAGAGACTGAAGTTTTCTTTTTAAACACAGAACATGCATAGTACGGGCAGCAAGATCACCGGTGTGCCTGAAATCTTGTTCTGGAGGGGCTACTTCTATGGTGGAGAAGACAGGTAATTCTCTGTGCTCATTTAATTCGTGGCCCCAAAAGGTGCCATTTTGCAGTAGATATACGTGCCAACAAAAAGAAAGGACTGAGACCACCAACTCATTTCACATAGTACACTGAAGAAAAAACCATTTTTTTTTAAACCAAATTTACGCCATACTTGAACCTGGAATGCTGATGTGAATAACTCCGTAACCCACTATAAAGCCACTGAATCTTTAAATACTTTTTCATGATGAGCAAAAGACGTATATTTGGGGACTGGTTAATGAACCAACACTCAGAAGTAGTCTGGGAGCAAAATTAGTGTGCCAACAAGTAACTGCCCATTACACAGAAAAATATGCTGACATTTACTGTGCAAATGATGTTTGATTAGACTTAGATAAACAGTGCATGCATCTGCAGTTATCTCACATTGATTATGTCACACACAATGTAAACAAAAAACTAACAAACATGGAGACACTATTTAACATTTACCTGCGTTATTGTTTCCTAAAGCTCCTTGATTTCCAATCATACTGCCCATCATTCCTGGCTGAGGTATCACTGAATATGGACTATTATTTCTTATAGGAGGGAAATTTCCTGCACCTGTTGGGCTTTGCAGTGTAATGTCAAGTGGTAAATTCTGGTTTGGTAATAACCTGCTCAGTTGCCCTGCCCGTGGGTTATTAAAAGCTAGACAGAGAAAGAGGAAAACAAAAACAAAAAAAGTTCCAGTAAAATTGAAAAAAAAACACAGATAGAGGAGTAGAAATACACTGCTTAGTACATAAACCACTCTATAGCTATGAGTGATGTCTCACCCCAACATCACTGCAAAAAGCAATACAGTTCTTTAAAATGGTACAAGCATACTCCATTACCATAAATAGTAATTAACATTTTAAAACACAAATGATACGACTTAAAATACTTTACTGAAGTACAACTATAGCATATATGCATCACCAGGTGATAGGTTATCATTGGCAATTAACCTGATTTCTTATCCCATGACTTAGCATGGGAGGTTCAGAATTGTGGAATTATTTAAGTTTCATAATTTTCCCCTCATAAACTGTGTCCCTGAAGAAGATACCATGATAAAAATCGAGGTTGTATTTTGTTCTTCATAATATTGTTACTTTCCTTACTTATCTAAATTCTAAAAATGTTTGCCAAGAACAAACATTGGCACTTGCATGATTCAGTAACAATCATTTCAGAGTCAACGCTTGGGGCTCTCTTATGGAGGAGGAATCCTGGTTTTCTCCGATTTAAAAAAAAAAAGCCCAATTTTTGGTTAAAATAACCCCAAATCCACATTTATCCACGATTAAAATGAAACATCACTATATATAGGTCTCTGTATTAGTGATGTTTCATTTAAATCATGGAAAAATGTGGATTTGGGGTTACTTTTTTTTTTAAAACTGAAAATTGGAGATTTTTTTGAAATCGGAGAAAACTAGGATCTCTGCTTATGAGTGACAATGTGGTTACTTGGAAAGTAGATTTTTTTAAGTTGACTTCTCCCTACAATTTCTCCTTACTTGATCGATTACATTTGAATTTAAAGAGATTCAAAAACATTCGCCTTCTTAAAGAAATCAGTCTGCTTTTTTCTTTTGAGGCCAATTTTTAAGGCATTTTTGTTTCCAACATCAGCTTCAACAGAAAAAAAATACAAATGGCATTTATTAGAAAGCCTAAAATTTGACTCTAAAGGAGAAAGCAATTGTTGGAAAGCTAGCAATTTTCTTGAGTGATCTCCAAGTAGATAACAACAGTTGTCTAGCATCTCTCACACTTCCCAAACATAACCAGCTTGCTGTTCCTTAGGTACTGATTAGTTACACTAAGCTAGTTTAAAAAAAAACAAACAAAAAATGTTGGTTTCTTACTTGTCCTTCCACTTACTTTTCTATGATTCTGTGAAAATAAAGATTGGAACGGACTGGAGGAGGTCATTTAGTCCAATGCCCTGCTAAAAGCAGGACCACCCCAACCAAATCATTCCAGCCAAAGCTTTGTCGAGCCAAGCCTTAAAAACCTCAAAGGATGGAGATTCTACCACCTCTCTAGGTAGTTTGTTCCAGTGTTTCATCACCCTCCTAGTGAGAAAGTTGTTCCCAAAATCCATCTTAAACCTCCCTTGCTGCTCCTTGTTCTGTCATCTGCCGCCACTAAAAACAGTCTAGCTCCATCCTCTGTGGAACCCCCACTTCAGGTAGTTAAAGGCTGCTATCAAATCCCCTCTGTCTTCTCTTCTCCAAACTAAATAAACCCAGTTCCCTCAGCCTCTCCTTGTAAGTCACGTGCCCCAGCCCCCTAACCATTTTTGTTGCTCTCCACAGGATTCTCCAATTTGTTCACATCCTTCTTATAGTGGGGGACCCAAAACTGGACACAGTACTCCAGATGCGGCCTTACCAGTGCAGAATAGAGCAAAATAATTACGTACCTCAATCTGCTGGCAATGCTTATACTAATGCAGCCCAGGATGCTGTTAGCCTTCTTGGCAACAAGGGCACACTACTGACTCAACGCCCAGGTCCTTTTCTGGAGAGCTGCTCCTTAGCCAATCAGTACCCAGCCTGTAGCAGTGCGTGGGATTCTTCCATCCTAAGTGCAAGACTTTGCACTTGTCCTTCTTGAACCTTATGAGATTTCTTGTGGCCCAGTACTCCAATTTGTCTAGGTCACTCTGAATCCTAGCCCTATCCTCCAGCGTATCTACTACTCCCCCTAGCTTGGTGACATCTGCAAACTTGCCGAGGGAGCAATCTACCCCATCTTCCAGATCGTTACTGAAGATATCAAACAAATTTGGCCCCAAGACTGACCGCTAGGGCACTCCACTTGATAACAGCTGCCAACTAGACATTGAACCATTGATTACTACCCACTGAGCCCAACAATACAGCCAGCTTTCTATCCTCCTTACAGTCCATTCATCCAAACCATACTTCCGTATCTTGCTTGTAAGAAGGCCATGGAAGACGGTATCAAAAACCTTGATAAAGTGAAGATATATTATGTCCACTGCTTTCCTTGCATCCCAAAATGCCATATAACAAGAACCTCCTGTATTTGTTGTTATTGTTTAAACTGCATGACATATACTCCCAGCCATCATATCCTGAAACTTCATACTTTGTTTGCTTACCAGAGGGACTGATAATCCCCTCTGATTTAAGATGGGGTTAAGCAGGCACCACAAAGTCTAACCCAAAGCTTGATATATCATGTAGGTAGAGAAAGCAATCATGAATGTAGCTTTATAAGTAGCCAGTGATCCTAAAGTGGAAAACCTGGGAGCCAGGAATGACAAGGCAGCTAAGAGATTATTATGCTCAGATTATATGTCTATCATTAACAGCATGAAGTTTTGACGGAGTTTTCTTTCTGAGAAAAAATGTAGGAATGCTTCAAATTCTAGCAGCCACAGTGTATCTATAAAATGAGTTATCAAAATGTTCATTAGTATGATAATGTAAAATCCTCAGCAAAACATTTTATATAATTTGATATAATTTAACACTAATTCTGTTAGCTCTGTTTGTGTATACATGAAGACAAAAAAGAACAACCCATGGACTATTTTACTGCACGTTTTCCCTACATGCTTTAAATAGCGTATCTATGCAAATGACCCCACTGGAATGGGACACTAATGCAAGACCAAACTAGGACAAATCACATTTTGGGCTTATGACCTAATTGGGTAAGGGAAGCAGAGCTTCTGCCTTGTTTCTGAAACTGCTTGTCAATACCCAGCACAACTTTTTGGGGCTCAGAACTGCTTTGCTGTTGTATTAACGGGAGCTGTGGAAACAGATTTTAAAATACATATGTGAGTGTGTTTCCAAGATTCCTATCACAATTTAACATAGCATTAAAAAGAATAATTAATTATTTTATTTATATGACAAAGTAGAAGCAAGTAAGTGTAAAACTGTCTAATGTTCCTAATTTTCTAGAACTTTGGTAAAGTTTGAGCAAGTCATTACAAATTCATGATCTGATTAAAAAAAGCTGAAGAAAGTGGGAAGTCATAAGAAGCCTTGCTTACAGGACTGCCATTAAAGGAAAAGAACAAAAGATGTGTAGTCTTTTCTTCTGGATTCCCATTTTGAAATACCTTAAAGAACAATTAAGATAGGGACCCAAGAACCGAAGCAGGAAAATCACTAGCCACTTCTGAAACCTTTCACTTTGGGTAGCAGAAAGAATTTGGAAATGAGTCACCCACCCTCATTAAAAGAAGAAAGATAGAAGGAAGCAAGGTGAGCCAAGGCAGACAGTTAATTCAGGAAAAGCAGCTGTCTAGACCACATGGGACAAGATTGTCAGGCCAGGTCTCCCATAGAATTTAGAAAGTTTTTAGTATCAACTCTAGTCCATAAGGAGAATATTTAGCAGTTTTCTTCTTAAACTGCTCTACTTCTACCTTTATTTTTACCATATTTGTGTCTTACTACCACACCATTATTTTGGTGGGGGGGAAGGGGGGGAGACACCAATATTTTAATCGTAAATTGCTAGTTCGTTAACATGATTACTCTAAAAAACAGTCAACTTGCAAGAGAATCAACTAAAAAATGAGTTTGAATTTAAATTGGAAAAAATCCCAAAACAGCTTTTTGTTTCCCCTTTACTATAAGAAACAATAAAAACAATGGAGAATATAATGTCAAATGCATAAAAGGTAACAAACTGTGATAACATAATATTATCATTATTTATATTGATATCAAGCGATACTTTGTCAGAGGCGCTTATTTTGAGAATTTCTTTCTATGTCCTCAAAAGAAGTCTTTCAGCACAGTGAAACACTGTGGTTACAGAGTATCCCACTTACATTTATGACAGGGATGGGCAAAATACAACCCGCTTCGCCAAGGAATTTGGTCCAGCCTACAGCGGGTCCCTTGGTCCTCCCCAGCCCAGGCACAGGGGGCAGCCTGGGTCATGGTGCGAGTGACCAGTCCTGCCGCCCCTGGGTGTGCAGCAGGGTTCTGGCTGCCACTGCCAGGAGACCCAGCCTCGCTGCCTGGACACCCATGGGGTCTACCCCATACCCACTACACTGTGTGGGACCCACATGGATGGCCCGATTGGATGTGGCCACAGATAGGCGGGGAGCAGTGTTCAGGAGTCGGACAGGGCAGGGATGAGGAGGCAGCGATAGCGCAAGGCCAGGCAGAACTGTGATCTGCTACCTTCATGGCCCTGCAACAGGCACAGTTTCTGCAGGCAAGGGCATGTAGGGAGTGGATCATGGCTTTGCCCTGGGCCCAGGCCCCATCCTGTCACCACCCCAAGGTCCTGAACCTGGCCCCAGAAGCAGCTTCGCCTGCATCCCCATTCCATCCATCAGCTGTGCACCCTGCCCACGCAGGTCCGTGGAGACTCTGGGATCACTATGTAGTGACAGTATGGGGCTGGGCCTGAGGCAGAGCCGTGATCAGCTCCCTGCGTGCCCCTGCCCATCAAAACAGTACCTGTGACAGGGGTACGTAGGCTGTAGACCATGGCTCTGCCCTGGCCCCTGGCTGTCACAGCCCCATGATCACAGCCCCACTCAGCTGTCCTGCTCCTGGATGCTGCTCCCTGCCCATTCATGGCCCCATGCCACTTGGGGAGTTCTGGTGAGCTGTTGAGCATGGGGGGGGAGGGCAAGGAGGAGGTAGGGTTGAACCTGGCCTGTGGTACCTCATCAAAACTCCCTATGTGGCCCGTGAGCCCAAATAATTGCCCAGTCTGATCTATGAGCTTAACATGCTGTTCCAAACACAGACAGCAGAGGGTTCTGCTTGATCGCAGATCACAAATGTTCAACTGTTGACTCCATAACCTGGTAGATCCTAAAGCAGGAAAGCAAATACTACCTTTTGTCTGATGGTTATTTTTTGTACTTGCATGATTAACTATAATCCAAACTCACTGTTCTGCGAAATCCTCATTGCTGGTTTCTGGGCCCCAGTGGAAGTGCTAGAGCTGTTTTCACCAGTAAGCTGCATGAGGTCATTGATAATGGCTTGCTTGTCAACTGAACCAGCTGGAGCACCTGGCCGAGTATCTGGGAAAAGCTGTGGTAACTGACTGTTCTGTAGATCATCCAGAATCTCCTCCAAGTTATCCAATTCACTGCCTGGCTGCAAAGGGGAAAAAATACAGTCCATTTTGTTGTCAATATGAAGAGAGCAAAAGGTCAAATCATGGCTCTTGAAGTCAGTAGATCAACAGGAAGGGAATGAACACCTGTAGCTCTTGAGAGGCTTTTGAGCTCCTCTCCAGGAATCCAAAAAGCAGGGAGGGGGATTAGTACAACTTGGAAAAGGGGCAGTCAGCCCAACCATCCCTGTATCTGGGGAATTTAGCACTGCCCAGAGCACACGCATTCATCTTAGGGTCAGAGTGTACATCTAGCCCCACTACAGATGCCTCATACACAGAATGCTTTTTCTGTACACTCCTTCCCCAGTACACAAGCAGCTGTAACTTTGCAGAGAAAGGAATCTTTCAATGATGGTGAAGATAGAGATTTATGTAGGTCTGACAAATATCCCTTTTGGTACAAATCATATCGGTATCTCTTTTATGATATAACTAAAAATTTAGGATTGAGAAGTCTCTCCATGGCTAAAACAAACGAACAAACGAACAAAAAATCCCTCCACATTCATGCATATTTTTCTTTAGCTGAAAGGCTAAATAAGGTGTACAGGCCACATGTTAAAGATTCACAAAATTAACTTGAAAAAAAGTTAAAATTATGTGCTGTGTATTAACAATGGCAAATTAGTAATGAGGTCTAGGAGAATATTTTGCCCTAGTTATGTACACAACTCCCAATAACACCAACAGGGAATTACCCATGTAAAGCAACAAGAAAACAGATTTTTTATTAACCGTTTAAGGTAGAAATTCAACATGCACAAAAAAAGTTAGAAAATTAAAATCCAGCTAACAGACAAGGACACATAAAAATTAATAAGTATTTTCATGGAGGCGTCCATTTTTAGATTTTAGCACTGCTCAGGTCTCTCTGTCATCTTTAAACAGGTGTAGTTAACAGTAGTGTAAGTGAGGGGCGGGCAAACAGGGAAGCAGCCCTGGCATTGCAGTCCCAGGCCCCACCTTTAAGGGCACTGCTAAAGCAGCCATAGCTGCAGCTGGTGGCTGGCTGTGCCATTGCTTCTGGAAGTGCAGCAGCCAGAGAATGCAGAACTACCCTATTACATGGTTGGTAGTTAAAATCCTTAATATGCTGGAACTAAGAAAATGATCAACCTTCTAGTATGGCATTTTTACCACAAGTGTCCTTAAACTGTTTTAGATATTAATAAGTATCTTATTAATTACTACTAAATCTCACATGTAGTATTTTATTAGACAAACTCAGTATGTATAAGACAAGCGCCAATCAGGATCAGAACCTTCTTTAAGCTTTGTATAAACACAGAACGACCACTTTGTACCTGAATGCCTGTCTAACATCTCTCCCACCTATTCAGTTGGTCTAATAAAAGATATAAAAAAAACGCTTGCTCTTTCAGGCCACAGATGCAGTTATGGTTAACAGATTAGTAAGGAGAATAGGGAAAGAGCAATACACACAGTTCTTGATGAACATGTATTTTCCCCTTTACTCCTCCTCCCTCCAACTTTCATGTGGCCAGGGGATGTATGCCCTGTAAGCTGCACCAGCAAGAACCGCATGCCATGCAGGCTGCGCCAGGGTGAGCCTCAGGCCCCTGGGCTACATATACATGGCATGTGCTACACTGCATGCACACCTGGGCACCTCCCTTCTATCCAGGGGTATAGGGTGTAGCTGTGTTGGTCTAAGGACACAGGAAGACAAAGTTCTTTGGGTAAATCTGATCTCTTTTATTAGACCAACTAAGTAGCTGGAAAAACAATTTGTTAGCAAGCTTTTAGGTTTTAAAACCCTTCACCCACCCTTGGGGTGTGTGGAGAAAGGAAGTGACAGCCATAAGTGTGTGCGCGTGTGTGTGTGTGTGTGTGGGGGGGGGGGGGGGGGTGGGGACCCCCCAG